ATGTGTTTTTTTAATATTAACTTTTAAATTAACAAACTGAGTCATGTATAGTTCTAAATTTTGAATTATATTCTACAGTTTGGTACCAAACTTATTGACATAAATTCATGAAATAGTAGTTCAATAAAATTTTGAATGCAAGTCAACAAATGAGATGACATGGCCTTTCACCTGTAACCAGTATCGAAAGGGTTAATATCAACAGTAAATTTAAGAAATTTATTACAATTTCCTTCATCTACATCAATGACATAAATCAAATGGAGTAAAGGTCCTAAATGAGCCCATTTGCTTTCTTTCATCCAGCCATTTCTGAGTTTGATGAGCAAACTTATCTCCCACACCTAGACAAGCCTTTTGTGTGGCACATTGTCATAAACTTTCTGAAAATTCAGATACACCAAATACACATCCTTACCTTTGGCTACATAACCAGTAATCTCTTCAAAGAATGCCAAAAGATTTTCTCCTAGTAACACCATGTTGACTATCCAACAAAATTTTTCAAATTACTTTACGGAGCATCTTCAATCACACTGACAATGGATTAAAGATGAGGAAAACTAAGCTAAGGAAGTTGATATTTATGTCACAATAATTGTTTAATGCAGAAGCTGAGTCTGCATATCAATCTTAGCTGAATTTGAGGGTAGTATTTTTTTTAAAAAGGAAAACAGTTATATTTTTAACTTGTAAGGATAGTAAGTCCATAAAAGAAAGGGAGATAATGAGGAGAATTTTGGGGACAGTATGCACAGTAGCAAGTGATTGGAATTTGTTGTTTAGGAAATTGCATGTAATATTTATTAGTAAATCAGTCAGATAGCTATTATTTATATTAATTTTAATACTTTTATCCTCAAATGTAATCTACCCACGTCACTGTTAAAACAGAATTTTTAACCTTGCTTAAATTACTCTATTTTACACAGAGAAATTACACTTCTGCCCAAACACCTGCTAAATAATGGTTCTCTGACTGGTTTTCTAACAAATGTTACATACAATTTCCTAAACAAATTTCAACCATCTGCTACTGTGTACAATGTTCCTAACGCAATCCTTACAAATTAGAAAACAACTCCTCTTTAATAAATAAACTTCTATCCTCAAATTCAGTTCAGACTAATATACAGATCCAACCTTTGCATTTCATTATGAAGATCAACTACCTGAACTACATTGATGACTCGTATATGTGTAGTGACTGTAAAGTGTAAGGTCACATACATTGGCAAAACAAAACTTTGAAAACTAGAGTCTGTGAACATTTAGGAATGTCAAACAGAATTGATCATCCTTTACTTAAACCCAGACACACATCCATTCATTCACACATTGAAACCACAGGTCACAAGATGTCATATATCAATTTCTCTATCATTACTTCAGACCTTGAACTCTACATTAAAGTTTACTCATAGCTAAGGACCACCCTACTCTTAACGACTTACAAACCTCTTTAGACCCAACATTTTTCTAAATGCACACATTTAAAACTCAACTGTTTCACAATATAATCTATAACACTTTTTTTATACCTTTCCATTTACTTCTTTACTTAATAACTAAGTAACTAGTGATTAATGATACTATAGTTGTAGTTAATAAGTATCTTTATAACACTATCTTCAGATTTAACCGAAAATTAAATAAGTGTTCTAAAATGTTCAAACTTTGTAAATAAAATGTTGTGTTTTGTGAACTGTCTTCATTATTATTATTAGATATATTTTATCAGACTTTTAAAACTTCTCCTTCCTACTGATCTAAGACTAATAGGCCTATAATTAGCTGGAAAACACCTTTAAAACAAGGAGTAACATTAGCCAACTTCCAATCTCCTGACACGTGTCCACTATTCAAGGACTTGCAAAAAATAGTAGCAAGTGGCTCATATATCCATTACTTAACTTCCTTCAAAACTATTGATGAAATATATAATATATGGTTCAGGTGTCTTTAAACTTTCAAGTTTTTTCTTAACAAGATGAGAATTAATGTGATCATCTTGTTTGATCTAACAACCATTCATCAGATTTGAGTAAAAGTCAAACATTTCCACAAAGTAACATATCACAGTTTATTAGAGATGTTATTGACAGCTTTGTTGTTAAATTTAATCATGAGTGTTAAGGATGGAAAAAAAACAAAAAAACATATATATACACACACACACGTTTTTAAATATTTTGCAGCACTTGGGCAATGTCAAATTCTTTCCGAGCGTTCCAATACCAATACATGTAGTGTTAATATCATCATGCAAGTTCACTATATGTCATATAGTATTATGTGAAGTATAAAAACTCAAATTACTCCATTCCAATTGTAGCAGTAGTTCACAGCAATTATACATTTCCATATTTCCAGAGCATTTCCATCTCATTTGATACATAACCCAAATGATATCCTAACATTTAAGTCAAATCATATTAGGGAAATTTTTTTGTCAGAACTACAAAAAGTACTTGCTGGGTTTCAGAAAAGCACAGAAGATTATAAGGCAAGAATACACAAGTTAAAAGATTAAGAAAATACCAGCTGTGCTATAGTTAAGACAGATTTATTTTTCTAATAGGGTAATAGTGATTAACTTGTGGAACGAATCGCAGTCAGTAGGAGCAGAGGCCAGTACTTTACACTTACAAGGGCTTAAGAAGGAATCGATAATTTCCTTCATAATAAAAGTGAAAATATTTTTATTTTTCTCACAAGTGGATGTGCAAGGACAGCCTTGAAGGATTAAATGGTCTCTTGTTAGCCATAATTTACATTATTAATATTTTCAAATTCTAAATCGTGTGTAATAAAATCTAAAAACTTGTGATTAAAACTAGTTCTGACTAATAAGGTAAGAATTATACAAATTACAAATAGTAAACAACTTCTTTAGTTTATTTTAATAGCAGCCGAATGACAATACATATCAAATATAAGTTTGTTTTAACTTGCCGTATTTTTCGGAATATAAGATGCACCCTTATTTTGAAGACAAAGTTTTTGGAAAAAAAAAAAAAAAA